TTTGATGTACTAATCTTGCCTATTTTAACCTATGGTTGTGAAACTTGGGGATACGAAAATCAGTCAGTATTGGAAAAAGTACACTTGAAATTCATTAAACTTGCCTTCAATCTTAGAAATTCAACACCAGATTATATGTTCCTATAAGTATAATCATATATAAGAGCACGATTTCGTTTTGGCACAAACATATAGGTAATAATCGACCTGTTATAAAATTTTCAACCCTAATATTGAAATACATAAATTCTATAAATAATACTAATAACAATAGAAACAACTGGATGGAGTTCATTAAGAGCTTATTAAACAGGTGTGGTCTTTCTGTAGTTTTTAATCAACCGGATTCTGTTACTGTAGAATTTACTAAACTAATTTAAAATTTGAACAATATCTTCCCTTATCACCAGAAATCTTTACTCCAATTTTAAAATTCAGAACCGTAAATAAGAATTTGCCGATTGAGACTGGCCGCTGGGTGGGCATCCAACAGGACTATCGCACATGTAAGCTTTGTACCTCCCCAGCCATGGCCGACGAGTTCCATTACCTCTTTAGATGTGAATATTTTGATCAGCAAAGAAAAACATTAATTGATAATAGATATCTTAACTGGTCAAACATTATTTCCTTTAAGAATTTGATGTCAAATATGAGAACTTTCGATCTAAATTTGTAAAAATAATACTCTCTGTACCAAAGTTAACCACTGTTGCCATTTGATCACATTGTATTTTTGTATATATGTATGTTATTATGTTGCTCATATACCACCCGACCCGTGAAGATCCATGCTTGCCGTAAAAGGTGACTATGCTTGTCGTAAAAGGCGACTAACGGGATCGGGTGGTCAGGCTTGCTGACTTGATTGATACATGTCATCGATCCCAATTGCCTGGATCGATGCTCATGATATCAATCACTGGATTGTCTGGTCCAGACTCGATTATTTACAGACCGCCGTCTAATAGCTGGAATATTGCTGAGTGCGGCCTTTTAACAACAAACCAACCAACCAACCAACCAACCAACCATATACCAGCTGCTGCATTACCACGTGGTGGCTTGAGTTCATAAAGAAACTGACTGATTAATTGCTAACACTTAAAATTAGCCTAGTTGCGCCTCTGAAGACCATGCCCACTCCTTCCACATACTATATGTAATCCGGGTCTGGCACATCTGCAGCTTATGCAGAGTCTAGCTGTCATGTGACGCGACCATATCAGCCAGTCGGCTTCACGGAAATCCTATTACTTATAGTATGTTATATTATAAATAGAAAGGTATATATCTGACATTGGCAGGGTTGACTCACAGTGCAGAACACCGCTGTGTGCTTCCCTAACGAATGTGGTTCTTCCCATCTACGTATTACAAGCATCGTTTCATCGTGACCTTACAGACAGACACGGTAGCGTATTCCTACATGTTGCCACTGTACATTCTTCTTTCAGCATTCTGTCACTAACATAATATTGAGGCTTCGGGTTGTCAGGTTCGCTGACGTGGTTGACGCATGTCATCGTATCCCAATTGGGTACATCTATGCACATGGTGTCAATCACTGAGTTATCAGGTCCAGACTCGATGTTTTACAGACCACCGTCGTGTAGGTGAAATATTGCTCTGTGTTGCGTTAAATAACAAACAAATAAAACAAAACATTCTACAAAAAAAATTAAAGGAAAAATTATATGCTCATCAAGTATTTCCTTTGACCTCGTGACTGGTGTCAATAATCGGCCATCAATTATCACTGTGTATTATGTGTGTCCATATGTAACATTCTCATTCAAACTGAATGAGTCATCTGAGGAAGGTAGTCTCCAGGCCTTCACAGCCTCAAGCCTAACTCCTTGCAACACGTGGTAATGCAGCAGCTTGTCGCATCAAGGTATGAATTTCCGGCTTCTGCTGGTAGAGCTTCTTCCACATTCGCTTGTGTGTAATGGAAAAAGACATTAATAGATATCTGTATTTGGTCACTCACCTTCTGTGACTCTCATTATGGCAACGTCAGCCAGTCTGGATACGCAGAGGAAAACCACAAGTCTGTAGAACCACATCCTTCAGGTTATGAAGTAGTTGTTGATATGGTGTCAGGAGCCACCGCTCGTTATCTCATCTGGTAATTGGTTATATTTGTTTGTTTGCTTCTTTGTTGTTTAACGCCGCACTCAGCAATATTCCAGCTATATGACGGCGGTCTGGGGAGGGGTTTGGGGTGGTGGGGTGGGTGGGGGGGTTCTTTTGGGGTTGGTTTGTTTGTGTTTGATCAAAGTGTTTCTTTCGGGAGAGCTTGGTGGCCCTGAACTGACGCTTCATCCTAGGAAGGGGGGAAGCTTCCTTTTTCATCTTTTTCTCGCACAAATAGTGCAAGAAAGTTGCTGCCACGTTCTTCTTGGGTCTCACCACCCCGGCCATTTTAAGGTAGGGGCAGTGGGGGGACCACGTTTCGTGTTCCACCCAGGATCATCATTGGCTGCCCATCTTCTCAGTCGCACGCCACATTGGAAACAGTAAACGCTATCTGTACGATGGGTGTACACGAAGCCCGCATGGGCCATCTCTTCAGCTGAGTCTTGTGGCCAGGAGAGGGTGAAATAAGAAATGGGCAATCAATAAACATGCGAGTCAACTTGGTAAACCATACTTGTGTGGTCCACATTGGTACCACAATTATTCCTTCTGAAGGTTAATTGATGCATTTCTTGAGGCACCTTCCAATACAGTTTAATGGTGGAAAAGAAAAGGTGTTCTTGCCATGCCGTTGAGAATGCGTCTACCGCTGTTGCCCCTGGATCTCTTTTCCAAGCTACATATATTTCGCACTGAAAGTTTAGTCTAGAAGCAAACAGATCAATATTTGGCTCTCCTCACACATTACATATTCCCTGAAATAGTTGTGGTTTTAACTTCAACTCTGAACAGCTGTGATCCATTGTGGATTCTCTATAAGCTTCTTATTCGAGAACCCTGGTAAATGAGATGCTGACAGCCAAATATTTCTCGGTCTACACCAAAACCATATTCTACGAGCAACAGCATTACAGGCATTATTGCTTTGAGAAACGGGCCTTACTTCAAACTGAGTTATCCTAAATTCTATCTTTAGTGGTTAACCTCAGCTAAGGTTGCATTGTGTTATAGGGCCTTGACTGTCTTCCAATGGCTGATCTGCATTCATCGATTGGAAGTCATTTAACCAATCAGAGTGTTGCTCTCCTTCACTGCCGAATAGCTTGTCACTAGGACACCATCTTGTCCCCAAAGCGCTAACGTTATCCAAGGCCTTAACAGCCACGTGTTGTATTGGGATCTTCGCACGAAGGCGATTTTTTAGTTTTAGGTATTCGCATGAAGGTGAATCGCATGAAGGTGAAGTTTCCTCTTGTTTTACATGTGTTTATTTAAGGGAGTATGTGCTGTGTGAAAAACGTAACTGCGCTCACCTGTGTTAGCTGCATGCCCAAAACCTGGACCACATCAAAGATCACTGATTAATTACATCATTTACAATTAAAGAATAATAGAAGAAAACCTTATAGATCAATATACAGTTATACCCTTCCCTTTATCGCCATCAAGGGGCGGTCGGGTAGCCCAGTGGTTAAAGCGTTTGCTCGTCACGCCGAAGAACCGGGTTCGATTCCCGACATGGGTACAATGTGTGAAGCCCATTTCTAGTGTCCCCCGATGTGATATTGCTGGAATATTGCAAAAAGTGGCGTAAAACTGTAACCGGAGTGGTTAAGGAGAATGAATCACTAAACACAGGTTGATTTGTTGATGACAGTTGTTTAATTGAATTGAATTAATGAACAGAGGCCTTGTGAAAATAAATACACAGAGTTAAAATATGCACAATACCACATACAAATCAACATTACATAATAACTTATTAACAAATATTCGAATCTTATATATGATCACATACATTGCTATGATCCGTCGTAATTAGTTTTATCTTACATTAATTCTAAATATTAAAGAATATTTGTTATATAATAAATTGACAAACATTACTTATCAATAACTGGGGAATGGTGATAAATACATTAATACATAACACACAATTTCAGTACATACCACCAAAGATATACAAACAAAATATAAATGTCCTCACCAGGTGTATGGCACTGTGCCCTATGATGTCACAACATCATACATCATTAGATTTACCGGGACACACCTGAACATAAATATATATACAACATAATTTCAGTGTAACATATTACATCAATATGTTTACATCCTTAGGTATATACAATAACTCTAAAATATATATTCCAATCACTCACCTCATCATACAGACATACATTCATACATGTGCAGTTAGGTGCAGAACTTTCATTTAAAGATAAATAGTTCCAGTCTATCAATAAATGTACTCATTATACTTAGTTACACAACAAGTTAAGTAATATCAACATGAAAATGCTATTTAAGAATAACTATTATAAACATACTTACATACTTAAAGTATATAAGCAAATTCAGCCTAACTACATTTACCTGACTACGATGACTGATATGATATATATTTATCACACCTAACAATATAAGTTCTATTAAAAGAAGTTGAGAAACCATACATATGCACCTTAGCAAACCCTTCAAAGCACCAAATAAGAATACATAAATATACAATTCAAACAAACTAACCCGTGACAGTTGACTGAATTATTTCAGCGATGAACTAAGAACTTGTCTCCATACAAACTTGTCAAATACAAGTGTAAATTCAAACTGACCAGTCCCATAATGCACCCTGTCACTGAAAGTAAGGGGCTGGGGCTAGACAATAGAGACCAGAGAAACAATAGAGAAGGCAAGCGCAAGGGTGACTGTGCTATTGTAATAGTGAAGCAGGTTAGATTGGAGGGTAGACTAAAACTTAGGTATTAAAAAAAGAGGTGACCTTGAAATACATTTGATGATATGTACATAATTACATACTACTACATTCTTCCCTCCCTAAGGAAATGACGTCTTCGTCATTCTGAGTTTTGGCGAGTTAGAATAGATATAAATGCTTTCGTGATGTCCGGTGTAGTCTGTTCCAATGTTCCAGCGCTCGTTAAATGCTCCAGGTAACGAACCCTAACCATCCAATCTGGCTCTACTGCTGCATGACTAAGCGCATACTGCCCTGAACGCACCCAACTTTGAGGGTGTCGCTCACGTGTTGACCTTCGTGGAACAACATCAGCTCCATCAGTATCTATAACAGCATCACCTGTGACACCCATCTCGTCGACATGTTCTGCTTCAGCTGAAGGAACTTGATCCAGAACAGTATCATCATCTTTAGTTTCAGCTTCAGCTTCAGGGATGACATCATCTTCGTATAGATCTGGAGTAGTAGCACCAGCATCTTCATCCACTTCATCATCAGTAGGATTCACCTCTGTTTCTCCAACTCCTGGGATGTGACTGTCGTCACCAGAAACGTTCTCCACTGCTGCCTCAGCCTCATGATCGTCACCACTTGCCTGAGTAGCAGTATCCACATCTGCAGGAACATCCTGATTGGTATCTGTGGGGATACCAGCAGCTGCACCATCTCTATTTGGGGTGTGGATCTCTACAATGATGTCTTCCTGACTAATGTCTTCATCTAGGAGTGTCTCTGGCTTTGGTTGTGGCTTAGACCATCTAGGCCTTGGTACAGGCTTAGGTTGGGCTGTTGCAGAATGATGTAAGGATCTTCTTCCCACTTATTGAATTGTGTTTACCACCAAATGCCAATATTTTCACTAGAACGTGATCTCCAGTCTGTGGTGTGGCTCCTCTCACACTAATGCCGTAGCCTTTCTTCTGCCTCTCTCGAGATGTTTTAGCTGAGGCCACAGTCAGTTCATAAGATTTCTTCAATCTTTCTCTGAGTAATCTGGTGTACTCTGCAAGTGACTTCTGTGTCAAACCAAGTTCTAGCCCAAAAGCAAGATCTAAAGGAAGACATGTCTCTCTACCAACATTAAAAAGAATGGTGCATGTCCAGTTGACTCGTGCCTTGTGCAATTATAGGCTTGTACAAGAGGCCCAATATGTGATTTCCAATCACTCTTCTGGTCAGGTGATAAGGTTCCCAACATGTCACATAAAGTGCGATTGAACCTCTCACACATGCCATTGCCCATGGGATGATACGGTGTGGTTCTGGACTTCTTCATGCCGGTAAGTAAGCACAATTCCTTTATGAGATTCCCATCAAAGTAAGCACCTTGATCAGAGTGTATCCACTGTGGAATCACATAATGCACAACGAAGATGTCAAAGAAGGCTTTAGCTGTGGCTTTGGCTGCCATGTAGCTGGTAACATATTCCTGTGCATATCTAGTGAAGTGGTCCGTAACAACTAACACATTGTGTTTCCCTCCTTTGCATGGTTCAAGGTCCAAGAAATCCATGGACACTAGCTCTAGTGGCTGAGTAGTCTCGATTCGAATGAGTGGAGCTCTCTGGTTGGTTGGAGTCTTCCGACAGATGCATCTTCTGCAATTCTTAATCCAGTCATCAACATCCTTAGACATACCTGGCCAGAAGAATCTGTCTCTCAAGAGTGCCAAGGTTCTGTCTCTTCCTGGATGACCCACGTTGTTATGAAGACCTTCTAATGCATCTTGAATGTAGTCTGTCGGTATTACCAACTGTTGTATGGCTTGTCCGTTGATTATTAGTTCTCTGTCGATAATTCCCTGCTGAAGATGGAGATTACTTGAGATCTTGAGCAAAGCTGAATGAGCAGTGGAATCACAGAAATCGTGTCTCCTTGGTTTGTTGCCAAACTGTAAACATCTTGTCCATTATCGTAAGATAGGATCTTGGTGCTGCGCTTTCTTCCAGTCCCTATGTGACATCCTTGCTAGAGGAAAAACAGACGTGTCGAGGTTCTCTTCGTGGGTAACGTCCGCCTGCATACATAAACTCTCCACATAAGGTTGGGCATGAATGATGTTACATACAGCCTTTACCGATTCGCCCGACATATGCTCCTGGTCTCCACGTGTCGTCATTCCTGGTAAATGGACATACCATCTACATCTGCATTGTTAATCCCTGGGCGGTACGTGATGTCAAAGTCATAGGCTGCCAAGGCTGCTAACCACTGATGTCCTGTTGCATCAAGCTTTGCTGAAGTGAGAATGTAGGTCAACGGGTTAATATCTGTATAGACTCTGAGCTTGGTACCATAGAGGTAATCGTTGAACTTTTCAGTAATTGCCCACTTCAAAGCTAGAAACTTTAGACGATGTGCAGAATAGTTCTTCTCAGCTTTGTTCAGTCCTCTACTAGCATACGCAATCACTCGTCTCTGGCCACCCTGCTCTTGATAGAAAACAGCGCCAAGTCCATGTGTGCTGGCATCTGTATGGAGCTCAAATGGTAGACTGTAATCTGCATAGGCAAGAATAGGAGGTGAAACCAGAAGTTCTTTCAAGTAATGGAATGCCTTGTCTTGCTCAGGTCCCCATGTCCATGGTTGTTGACTCAATTTCTTTCTTGTTCTCTTTGTCTGCGTTGGTGGAGGCATAAGACTTGACAGGGGCTTGGTGATCGCAGCAAAGTTCTGCACAAATCTCTGATAATACCCTAAAAATCCAAGAAACTGTCTCACTTCATTTGGATTCTTTGGTGGGGGCCATGTCTTTATCTTTTCAACTTCAGCTGTATCTGGTTCGATGCCTTGTTCCAAAATGATATGACATAAAAACTTGATCTTGTCCTTGAAGAAACTACATTTATCTGGAGGAAGCTTGAATCCACAGTCTTTTAGTCTCTTAAATACCTTCTTAAACCTGTCAAGATGTTCTTCAAAGGTATCAGCAAAGATGATGATATCAACCATGTAGATAAGGCATATCTTGAGATGCATATCTTCAAAACAGTCATTCATGAGGCGTTGATAAGTGACAGGGCTGTGGCATAAACCAAAGGGCATCTGGTTGAATTCCTAGAATCCAAGGGGTCCAACAGAAAAAGCTGTTCTCTCTTTATGATGTTCTTCTAATTCGACATGGTGATATCCACTCTTCATATCCATTGTGGAGGAGAATCTGGATCCTCTGAGGGTGTCAAACATCTCTTCAATCTGCCATCAAGTACCATCTGTTAACGTCTTATGGTATGACGCGCCCGGGGATCGAGCCCCGGAGCTTCCGCTCTCCGGGCGGATGCTCTACCTCTTGACCACAGAGGCAGTCAGTAAAATAATAGTACATAATACATGAGTTATGGTTTGTGAACAATTTTCTATGGATAAACATTTTAAAACACACGATAGTTATTGTAGGTACTAGAATGTTGTCATTAAATAAAATATTCATATTAGTGGGATAGTTTTGGTTAAATATGGTTGGAGTTTCTGCAGAGTGGATGTCATCTTAAAAGAGCTTAGTTGTTACGAGTGGATCAACTGCACAGTCTGCAGCCATAACAAAGAAAAATCTCACAACAATTTAAGAAAAAAATAATTCAGGCAGTAAATAAAAATTAAATAGTAATTTTTGTAAGAATATTGTCCCATATTCCAACAAGCTCCAATGAAGGTTCACATTGCACATAAAACACATCAAAATCCAGTTGATACATTGTACAATCTGTGTTTACACATTGAGTTAACGCCTTTTTCCCTCTTATGTTATCTTGAATTAAGAAAGACTGTTGAATCATTAACTTGATTGTTGCGTTTGGCAAACCTAGTGTTTGGTATGATCAGTGGTCTAGCGTTACTCAACAACAATTGCACTCCACCAAGGAGGTGGTGTAGTTTCTTTTATAAATCCCTTATAACAATTTGTTGTTTTACATCAGTTGTATTTTTTATATCTTGACATAAATAACTGTATATTACTTATCCTCTACTCAAAATTATTTAAAATATTTCCTTCTTGACTTTCTATCACATTATACACCACATCACTATTTCTCAAAAGTGACTGTAGACGAAAGCAGATCGAATCATACTGAGCTGCAAATGCATGCTTTTGCTTTGTAATTATACATTGTAGATATGATCGAAGCAAGAAAGATAAATGTTCAAATGCAATCAAATTTCAGAAACTTAACAGGCTCGATTGCAGTTTCGTAATTACAAGATTAATCGATATATTTGTGATAATGTTCTTATTTCTCTCTTTTTTAAATAATATATGCGTCATCTGCTTGTCATCTTGTGGACATTAATCATCTGCTGTCACCATGTGGTATGGGTCCAGCATTAGAGCGAGAACAGGGCATGTGAATGGAACGTACTATGGTAACTTAAAACGCCACAATCTCAGATCCCAACAAATTCCCACCACTGGAGGACATAGTTGTAAGTCAAAGCACCATTCATGTATATGATCTGTTATAATATGTGTTTTACAAATGCGGTTTTGGGCGTTAATAAGATACACTGACGCAAGTATATTCTTATCAAATCAACTGGATAACTGAATATGCTTTCTTGTACATATTATATAACATCATTACACATAATTTTGACAGTTGCAGTAATGCACCATACCGCGAGAGAGTTAAACACTACCTTGAACATTATTTCAGTTATATAACGTTGTATCATATTGATAGATAAAAACCAGAAGTGGTTCAAGTCTCAGTAACGGGTGTTCATGAAAAGGTGAGCGTATCCTGCCACATCGCTGGCACCCGTCACAAACACATGCAAGGACAAGTCAATTGTTCACCTGAACAAAACACGGAAACACAATGATTAAAGTTTTAACTATTACCGAGTATGTAAAGCACCTTGTCCGTCAAAACATGGACGTGTATCAATAATATGTTCCTACAGCTAATACTTGTCATACATTTGGCAAAATGTATTGACTCAGAGCATTATTCTTAATCAGAACGTTTAGACTCTGATATTGGCATGCAGTTGAACTCATCAGCTATCACATTATGGATCATCCTTCATGAAGAGCTTTAAAATCAGAAGCTGCAATAGCGCATATTTACACTTTATCTGTTAATAGGCATGTTAGGCTTCTTTCATAACTCAGTTTTAGTTGCACAGATTATTACGCGTTGTCGTCCTTTCAAAAGCAAGCAAAACGTGTCAAAACTAACCAAAGCTCGACAATGCGACATTTTGGCCATTTGTTGCATTATTCTCGCTCTTTGAATAATCATATTTTTTATTTTACCAAAAGGCGACAATGCGGCAACGCAACATTTTTCAAGGTCATAATATGGCTCGTCGTCGCATTGTCACCCCATCAAAAATGTGCGAAAAGGACGTTAAGTTCAGTTAATGTTACAGTTTGGAAGCGGTAACCAACTTATATCTACAGAAGAAGTTCTACCTGATACGTCTTGAATTGAAAACACAAGTCTGTCCACGGGTCCATAACGTTTTTCTTGTGAACTCTTCTCTATAAGTGCTAAGTGTTTTCACTCCCAGTTCCCAACTGCCCCGCCCGAGCTGGTTTACATGCATATAGTTTCTAAACAGTGTTGATCATATTCTTAAAAAGCCAGTAAGACCAGACGACGCAATCCGCATTTGAACAGGATTGGGTAGTCAGGCTAGCTGATTTGGCTGATGCATGTCATCATATTCCAATTGTGGAGTTCGATGCTCTTGATGTCAATTGCTGGATTGTCTGGTCCAGACTTGATTATGTACAGTCCACCGTCAAATACCTGGAATAATGCTGGGTGCACGTTAAACAAGAAAACTGTTTTTAAATAGACCTACCCTATGCAAATGAATCAACTGTATTGCCCAATACTCAAAATATTTTTTTTTAAATTCCACAGCAGCGTTGTCTTATTTGTGGTTGATATAATTATGCTCCTTCATGCCTTTCAGTAACATCACAATTATGCGTTTGTGAGGCATGACATGTGGAGGGGAACTTTGATGCTCTGCATCAATGTTTTCTTATGTAGACAATATCGCTTGAGGCAGTGGCTGATTATGACCTAAATACCCATCATAGCCTTCGGTGTTAACTGTGTGACCGTTGAGAGCTGGGCCTTTATGCAACAGATTATCGAGGTCAGTGGAACACGGTACAGACGCAAATAGATTTGAGCCCTGGGACACAAAATATATGATAGTGACCAGAGCTACGGCTGTATATTGTATTCCATTAAACGGTTGAAAAATACTACAGCCTTTTGCTTTGACTTTGCTGCCAAACGTTTCATATGTGGCTATGCGCGGTGCACTGATTTAAAAAAACACGTGAAAACTGGGTTAATTCAAAATATTTCCAGTGAACACGAGCATCCAAACAATCAAAAGTGTGGTATGTAGAATTCAGCAGTATTACATATAATTTGAGAAGACGCAGTTGTTCATGAATAAGCATATTCAGATTGCTCATGAATAAGCATATTCAGATTGCTCATGAATAAGCATATTCAGAACATAGTCTATATTATTATTTATTATGTCCGGAGTACTTCTTTTGCATACAATGTGCAAATCAGAAAATTAGTCCATGAGGAAAAAAGGACATCGGATTACACTAGAATGGTTTAATTAATGTCAGCTAATGACTAGAAACGGTCAGATGCATCAATTAACTACATTAAGACGATTTTGAAGTATCTCTTATTATTGGAAAAGAATAGCATCAACATTTCACGCACATGATTTGTATGTTCGTTTCGGTAACTGTGTGGCTTGAAATTTCAAATAAACCAACATGTCGACATACATGCTATAAAATTAACCTTTCCAATATACTTCCCCGCCTTTAGGGGGGTGAAGAATGAGGTACCAACTCACTCACTCTGTTTCGAATATTCAGCACAAAATATATATTAACCAGTAGACTAACATCTAGTCTCTGAAATTAACATATCGTACAGAAAAAAAACAGTTGTTCAATTATCTTAATAAAAATATAATCAAGGAGCCCAGAGACTCTCTTCCATTTCAGATACACCAGTAATCTAGACTTGCCAAAGATTATTGACTTGCATGGGCTGTATTTAATGTATTTGTATCAGGGTCTGTAAGACAGACTAATTAACCAGCTGTGAGGTAAGATATCGGATTTTTACCAGCAGTCGAATAAGGATGATAAAGGACTCTTCACTGATTAGGTTCTCGTTTACTTTAGAGCATAGTTGGCCATGCTAGATGATTATTATTTTTATTTTGTAGACATGGATAAGACCAACCAGGGAAGATATTGATGGAACATTAAGATCACATGTTACCACAAATCTATGGTCTCTATGGTCTGGGAGACATACAAGGGCATCAGTATCGCATGGAGAACTGACGTGTAGGGAGAATCCCGCTAGGGCCAGCCTGGGTCAGTGTTATCAGATATGGTGTGGAGTCTCCAGTTTGGGCTGTGTTGTTTTAATAGAACAAGGGCACACGACCAAGGGCACTATGTAGAGATTAAAGCATTACCACCTCACACAAGTCTGTTTATATCAGATATATGTTATTGGATTTGAAACCTCTATTTGAACAATTGCGAGTTATTGTATACTGTGTATTATTTCGTCATGGTAGAATATTTCTTTTTATGGTGCTAGTTGAATTATCCACAGATAATGAGAGATACAATGTAAACATCTACCTGGAGGTATACTACTGAAGCGCATATCTTATATACTAATCTGATATTCTAATCGACTAATATTCTCTTCTTAGACAATATGTATAGTTCAAAAATTGGGAAATACTGCAATTTAAAAGAATGGCAAATTAATGTCTAATGCAGTGTATACATTTTGAATTCATTATAATTTCTGCAATAAAAGCGTAGTCAGATAGTCCTTAAAACAGATACGATCCATACTGTGATAAGTGAATTATTGCTTATAGTTTTTAATTTTGGATGAAATAAACTGAAAAAAGAAAAGATA